GGGTACCCCTTTAATTTCTTCCAAATTTTCGTTTTTAGCCAATAACTCCCAAACTGTTGGATCTACGGGAAAATGGCATATGACCTTTCTTGTAGAGGACGACGAGATCTACAATTTCCATGTAAAAATTTTTCGCTAGCGTCTATAGTTAACGAGTAATTTGCAAAAAACTGTTTTTTAGTTTTTCGCCAATAACTCGTTAAATATTAATGCTAGCAAAGAATTTTTATACAGAAATTACAGCTCTCGTCGTCCTCTACAAGAAAGGTCTTATGCAATTTTCCCGCAGATTCAACGGTTTAAGAGTTATTAAAGAAAAACGAAATTTTTTGTCAAAAGTTCGCCATTTCGACGCTGGGATGATCGGATTTTGTCAACATCAATAAAATGCCAAATAATCATATGTAACTCATTAAATACCGAAATTAGAAGAAAAGTGCACTATTTTTAATTATAGGAAATGCGTTTTATAAACATAAACTTTTGGGATTAAATGTATAGCCAATACATCCTTAATCGACGCAACCGTCGAGGAAATATATTTTCCAAACACAATTCTCGCGAGACGGATTAATAAACTCTTTTATGAATTTATAGAAAAGTATGCAGAAAATTTTAAATATGCATTAAATGTCTCGAACGTACAGATCCATCTTGTTGTGATAATGATAACCGAAACGCAATGATTAGACTTGATATACAATACCTCCTCGGAATCCATCGTGTGATTCGTTTTCCCGTAGGTCGCCTGATCGCCGTCGCTCATGTTCGAGATGTCGCCGAAGCTACGACACTGTTAGTGACAAAATACAACTGACAAAGTGTAATTCGACAGCCATTTGAAGAAAAAGAAAGCGGTATTCATTAAATATCAGCCGCGCGAACAAGCGTTCATTATCAAAAGACGTTACACGTTATACATAAACGACATGAATATTCGTTTAACATTAATTATTAGACTGCGAATTTTACGATGGATACAGAACGTGAAAAATGCATATTTCCTTTTGCTTGAAAATCCGCGGTCTAATTATTATTGATAAGAAATAACGGAGATAAATTGATCAGAGAGTCGAAAGAGGCTAATCGATTGTCCTCTCACTTACCAGCTGTTTGATCGACACCCCAGTCGCGATCTTTTCCTTCGTGCACCGGTCCTGCTCGTTTCTCGTCGCCTCCGATACATAATTCTGTGTCTGCATGCACAAAATACAATTGCACAGGATACAAAGCTAAGTCGCATGCTAAGTCACCTGGGTAAATTCTACTTGGACCGTTGTCAATCGGATCTCTACTGTCCTCGTATAAACTCGTAGGTGGTTACACCGATACATTCTATACATGCAGGATATATAATTTAACTAGGAATCGATCAGGCGTTATCTCTTACTCAATCGGATAGATTTATTTACACTGACGTTCGATAAAAATGATATTAATCTCGACATCGCGTGTCTCAACGAATCATTAAGAATCTCTCAATTTTCTATTGGGCCCGTCGGCAATGATCTTTTCAAGTTTTATCTAAGCGGGTCATAAATAATACCGGTATCTCGTTTACGGTTTTTCCAGCTGGACCGCGTTTCCTCGGTGAACGAGGGAGAGAGAAAAAATATCGTGGCTCGCGCACGCGAATCGAATTCCTTGGTCGGTCGCGCGCGAATCGCGAACGGGACACGCGAGCGGCGACACGTGGCGAGTTTACGCGGGCCCGCCGCACGCGAGTAATGGCCAGGATCGAAGCTGACCGCGGTGGACAATTTGTTGGATCGAGCCGTGCGGAGAAAAGGAAAATTGTGGCCACTTTGCTCGCTCGCGTGGAAACCCCGTTCGCGTTTCCGGGAACTTACCAGCGACTTCACGTTCACGTTCGACAGATCGTTCTCGTCCGAGAAGTCGAGGGATTCCGTGTTCGCCTTGCGGGAACCGGGGTGCATGCTCGGCTGTCGCGAGTTACAGTTCTGACAAACAGACAAACAACACGCACGCTGTACATGCAACATTGCTATAATGGGAGAGATGCCGGATCTCGTCATCCCGGAGTAGGAGGATCGGTACGAAGGGTAGAAAAACTTTCCAGACGAGTCTCGGCGGAGAATTTTTCAAAAAGAACTGTACAGACTTTCTCGGCATTGGCACGAGACTTTTCTGCTTGGAAAAATGACTGTGGAATGTCCAAAGGGAGAGACGTTCTTTAAGACAATATAGACTGACACAAGGAAAAAATTTAGATCCCGTTTACCACGAGTCAATTACGGTGAAAAGCCTGGAAATTGTTGCTCGTGGAATCGGGCGCATGCAAATAAGGATTTAAACACCGACTTCCGGCTTTCACGAGAAGAGGAGGCCATCATCTGTCTCATGGATGCATCGACACTGTTAATTAACACGACATGACGTTCATGCGCAACGTGTGTTTATACCATAGGCCGTCTCGAGTCCTCGATCCCGATTCGATGGTCACGTTCTGGCTTTTCCGAAGGAAACACTGACCCCCATCTCTTCTGTTCGCTTCTCGTTTACAATTATATAAATGAACAACCCTTAAGAATTTCCATATCACTTTTACATACATTAATTTCTACTAAGATATCGATAATTCAGAAATTCGTATGGGTTGATCATCCCCTAGAGACTAGATGATAGAAAACGAATGAATCACACTCTTACCACGGAGATGTTCTCCTTCTCGAGCTCGCTCTTCTTGCTCTTCTTAGTTTTCTTTGTGCGGGGAGTAAGATTTGGCGAAGCATCGTTTCCGGCTACACCTTCGATCTTCTTCTTCTTCGTCTTAGTGCCACCCTTGGCATTCGACGAGCTCACCACGCTCGACGTCGTTATCGTCTCCTCCCGGCTTTCGCTCTACATTAAAAAATTCAAGCATATTAAATGATCCGTAAATCTGCTTTCAAGTCTTTAAGTGCTGGTGTGAAAATTGAAACCGAAAGGAAGTGTCTACCAACACTCAGAGGATTGAAAGTTGTTTGAACAATTATGTTCCGATTGAATAATGTCCTCGAGTACTATAATTTCTTTCAATATCTGCGTGACGCATAATGGTAAACTTGTACGCGATTATCTTCCAAGAATCCCACACAATCTTTAATCCAACCGGAGTCAGGGGACGGTCGAACAGTTTCTTTAATGATATTCCGTAAGTTTCTTCGAGCCGTCGCATCCGGAGGGAGGAACTTATAATTCGAAAGTTGCGAAACATTGAACGTATCGTTTAATAACGGTGATACTGTCGCTAATACGCCCGAACGGTAATCCGACCTCGTTCGAGGCGTCGATTATTTTCGAAATTTACGCCTCTCGATTACAGACTAGTTTTAGCCGAATAACAAAAGTGCACTTCCAATTTACACACTGGACGGCGGACACACAACGATTGTAAATCTCGTAAGTGGCTCAACATCATAACTCATGTACCCTCTCTCTCTATTCGCTATTTGTTCATTAGCATAATTCGTGATAATTACAGAACGATAATTTAGATATCGTCCAAACCATATAATAGCTAATCAAACGGTATGCAAATTTCGTATGAACGTCCGTAGAAAGTTTCGTATAATGCTTTTGGAAATCGCGTGAATTTGAAATATGAAACTGAAGTATAAATAGATATCTATCTGAAATAATGTAGCAACGTATTGCATCGATCAATGGGCAAACTGGAAAGAGTGTCGTGCATTCCTTTTACCCGCGTTAACAAGATATTAATGACCGGTTAGATATGAATCAGCGACCGATCTTACCGTTCAACAAGCGGATCGCGTTCCTCGGCGAACAGGTGCACGAACTCTAGGCAACAATGCCCGTGACGCAACCATTATCCACCGAGAGTTTCACTCGAAAATGGAAAATGAAATGATAACGATTAGGGGGTCCTAATCGCGTGACTTCCTGTTGTTACCCGGCGCGAGCTTATCAGGTATATACAGAAGATAAATCGGCTTTCACGAAGGAATCCTGTACTCGTCGTGGATAAGAGATAAGTAAACGACGGCTTTACGAGCTTTTTCAATACCGCCACGATCTTCTCACGCTGATTTTCGTTCGTGCCTAATGAACTTCCGGTTCCCGTCCCGGTCATTCCCAGTTAAACTGTTTAATGAACCACTCTGTCGATGAGTGTGATCATTTTATAATTGACACGGTTCTCAATTAATTAAATTTCTGTGAAACGTTAATAAGCAGAAATGCACAAGTTTGAAAATGAACAATTTACAGCGAAAGTGTCTGCAATATATTGTGCTCCACTTTAACCAAGAGACGTGAAATCAGTTGCAACAAACGCGTTCTTCGCAATCTCTTCTTATTAGATGAGCTCGATCGACGCAATGCCTCGTTACCAGTGCGGCGCCCGACTTCTCACCGACACACCTAATTACACTGCCACGTAACCCGCGGATAGCCAGCAAGACTCGTTTCAAAAGTATTTCCCAAACCGAAAACACCTCCTCATTGAGAACGACTGTTCTTATAAGGAAATATAATTAAGTCGTCTCGTATGAACGCCTCGTTTCTGATCGAGTAGCATCGTTGATACCTCCGATGAAGAATAAGATGGTCACGGTGAACGGGAGCAGCGTGTAACTTTCGTAACGAGACTTTCTAATTCGGCCGCTTCCGATTCACTTTCACAATTTTTCGGCTAAATGCTAAACACGATCTTCGAGCACGCGAACTTTCGATGATTGTTGAAACTCAGCCACTGAACAATTCTCGGATTATTTCCAAGAGGAAACGCCGGTTCTCAGACGTACCGTGAAAAATCGCCGAGTCCTCACGCGAATTTTTTCAGCCGATCCTAATCTTTCACACTCCTTGATTAATTTAAAATATGAAAAAAAAAACCTTTTTAATCAACCACTGAGAAAAGAATCACTAGTCCAAATTCACAGTCCTTTCAGAGAATCGCAATCAGAACAGAATAGCTTTGACAAGGATCAAAGTGCTCGTTGAAAACCGTGACGGAACAGTCGCGAACAGCAGGTTCACAGTCTCTGTAAAAATCGTGACGGAACTGATCGATCCTGCTGGCACGAGCACTGGTTAGTTACTCAGGACGACGGCGTGCGTCTACCTTGGCAACGAGGTCGACGAAAGCTGACGGAAGAACCACAGGGAGCAGATGAGGGAAGGAGAGCGTGTACAAGGGAGAAGAGTAGGGGAACGTGTTTCACGAGCACCCTGGGGTCGGCTCCCTTGGCACGAGCTCAGACGGTTCGATACTGATCGGAAAAACGTGCGCAAACAGGAAAGAGTACCGTGATGCGTAATAAGAAGTCCAAGATAAATCGTTGAACGACGCAATTAAACTCGTCGACCGACGATTCACGTAAACACGATCGATAGACGAGGAATTTTGCTACTCACGGTAAATCTCGTTCACTCAAAAACGATGTTAAACGATAAAAAGAGAAAGTGAACACACCGCGTTTGAAGATCAAACAGATTTTACTTGGACGACCTTGGTCCTACCTGTGCGAAGATCATCTTCGTTCTGACGCAAGCGAAAGATCGACACTAGATCCGCGGCTCGGTAGATCGTCTGGCCAACGTTTGGAGACGGGCTGGCAGACTCAAGTTCAGGAAACTCGATGCTCTCCAAAGCGTGGACAGGCAGAAGAAGGGAAATCGTGGGGATACGGTGAATTTCCGCGATTGGCCGTTTCCACCGGACACGGGGAGACGGTTGGCCGCGTACGGGTGGCCAGGTAAAATACGAGGGGAACCAGACGGTGTTCAGGTAGCAGAACGAAAGGTACCGAGCAGATCCACTAACGAACCGAGTATCAGGATTGGCCGGCGTCTCATTCGAGATCGACCTCGTTTAAGTGTGCCTCGTTCTTTAAACGTCGTTCGTTTTTTGTCATCTGTGCATCGTGCGTGGGACTCGTTTGTGCAAAGAAAATTATATCGGACATTACAAGGATTTTAAGGTGTTTCCATCATAATTTTCACGTCCAACTTCCTTAATCGATCTTGAGAAACATCGAAAGAGTGGAAGGAACGAATTCTATGAAACTGTAGATGAACCAGAGTGCGGCGGGAATAAAGTAATAGAATGGACGATGGTCGTTGAACCGACTCCGTGATAACTCGGTTTCGTAGCGACGCGTTGATAAACGAGCAGATTGCTTCCGGTACTCGTCCATCTGTTCACGTGAATTATCGCGGACATTTTCCACTCGTATCGCGGAGGTACGTCCAACTCGTTGATCGATTTTTCAGAAGCTCATCTACATTACGATCACGTCTTCGTTACAAGTCTCAAGTTTTCGATGATGTAAAATGCCGGAATTACATGCCCATCGTACAAATCGTATCACCGTCTTGACCTTCGAGTTTTAAGTTCCTCGTAAAACTATATTAAACCTCCGACTTTTCCCTGTCGTAAGCCGCTTAATCACGATCCATGATCGATGCTTATCGAAAACCTGATTTACACTCCGTGTTCGAAGTTTAATTGCAGAGTTTCGGTTCGCGTTATTGCAGCCGTGAACTACATTCGCAGTCTCGCCGATCGAACGAACTCGCGCGTGTCGTGACCGGGTGTCAATGAAGAGAAATAACGGAGAACGAAAGTGGTTACGCGCCGCTGGGCGGTGTCAACCAGCCACTTAGGTCTTTGTTATCTAATTAAACGCGACAACGTTTACACCGCAACAATCTTACGACTCTTCCCTCCGCGAGAAGAAGAGCGGGAGTCATCGTCGATTAAAGAGGACACACGATTCACCTGGAGATTCGACGTTGCCGGGAATTAATGAGATTAATTATTACCGGCACGGAATATGCGTGGGAGCACGCGCAACGGTGGCGGTACTTAATTAACGTTTCAGAGAGCCGCACAGGAAAAGCGGAATACGGCTCGTTTGCAAGAATTACTCAACACTCGGCAGTAACGAAATAACGTAACGTCGAGTATACACATCGGTTTTTCAACTAAATTGCTGCGCGGTCTACCGATTTTCATTACGTTTAAGTCGATTAAGATTAATTGTTACTTGGCCAATCGAAACGATGCACACCATTCGACACAGAGAAAACAACGAGCATTCCCACAAAATGGTAAAAGCAGTCTTCTTGCCAAACGATTAGACAAGATCAAACTTTTCATACCTCGTCGTATACTTTTTCTCGAGGGTATCGTAATAGAAAAATGCAATTATTTTCTGTTGACGATCATCTCGAGTATACCTGTCGATCAAAGATTAGTGGCAAACGAAGCAAAACTTACGTCACACGCGTTAGAAACGTCGCTGATCTCGTCGTCCGGAGTGGCGAGTGGGGCGCGTGCAGGGGAATCGTGATTCGGTAATTGTTCCTCTTCTTCTTGTTCCTCGTCGTCATTTTCGAGACACTGCGTCTCGGAAACGATTTGTACGGTGCTCTCCGATATGACCACCTCCGTTTTCTCGATGAACGTAGGCTCGGAGACGGACAGTTCGCTGGACGATTCCGTTATCACGTTCTGCTCGTCCACATTATCGTTCGCTTCCTCTTTCGCTTCTTCCTCCTTACCTTCCTCGTACTCCTCCTCCTCCAGATTCCTTATCTGAGGATCGCTTCTCTCCGGCGTGGTCTGCGACTCTTCCTGCTCGCAATTTTCCTCGTTCAGCACACGGCGTTCCGTGTCGAGGAATTCCTGAGTACTGACGGCTTCGGTGGAACTCTCCGACCGACTCAGAGTTCCTTCATCGAAACTCCTGGACGGTACGACTCGAGTCTCTTCGAGTTCCTCGACAGATTTTACTGTAACAGGTGTGTCCTCGGGTTCAACGGGAGTTTTCTCTTCTACCAAGTCAGATTCCAATTTTTCATTCGTCGTTCCATTTGACTCCTCGTTCGTCGAAAGCTCTCTGACTTGGTCTATTTCTTGTTCCCTCCCGCACTCGGTGTCTATCATAGACTGGCTAACCTTTTCATCTGTCGATTCAGGTTCTTCTATGATCTTTTCACAGAGATTCGTATCCTCTTGGCACATCTGATCAAAATTGTCGGAGAACTGACCCTGCTGGCATTCCTGTTCCGTCCACGTATCCAGCACTTCTCTCTTTTCCTCGACGTTCTCTGCCACTGGTGAATTATCCATTTTCACGATATTCTCCTCGACCACCTCCGACACTATATCCTGAACCTCCTTTTCCTCTTGGTATTTCTCGACGTAGATCGGTGTCGCGGTTAGCTCGAGATCCAGGAGTGGCTCCGAGGATTCCTGGATCATGCTCGAAACTTGCTGCAGCCTCTCCGAGGCCTCGGCCTGCTGAAGCACCGGATAATCTGGACACGTATCCTCGCTATCCTCGTTTCGTGGGAATTTGTCATCCTCCAGCTGATCTCGCTCGCTCGCCGTTGTTTCCTCCTCGATCACTATGCCGCCAACTTCCGACTGATCCAACACTTGCTCCTCTTCCTCGTCCCGAAATCCGATCAGTTCCGGCTCCACGGGATCTGAGGTCTTCGTATCCGGCGACACGTGACCATTTTGGTAACTGTAAGGCTCTTTTATCATCGACGAGTGTTCCGTTTCCGCGGCGATGAACTCAGCGTTCACGTCTACGAGATCCTGTGGTCGGTCCAACACGATTTTTTTCACAGGTTCCGGTTCGTTGGCCATTTCTTCCTGTTCTTCAGGTTCGATACCGGCTTCCTCGGTGCTCGAACAGATCCTAAGCGCCAACTCGCTCTCGATCAACTCCTGCAGGCTCTTGTCCTCCGCGTTCAGCTCGTTACGCGTGTTGTTAGTCAATATTAGGTCGTCCTCGTCGTCGTTCTCGCACAACGAGATTAGTTGGTTGTTACTCGCGGTTATGTTATCCAACTGGATCAAACCGTTGTTAGATTGAACACTACACACTTCGCTTTTTTTGTTACTTACGACGTTGATCGACTTCTTGGTAGCCACCTCCGCCATTATGGCGAGCCTGGTTCGTCCGACAGTCGCACCCTGGACACCTGAAGCCAATACATTCAACGATTCAACGTTGCCCTATTATGTTTGTACGATGAGGAACGAAAGGGAGAGGATGCGAAGGAAATCGCGAGTGACTCGCGTGTACGGTTTTATGGTCACGCGAACGCGAAGCTCTAGCCCCATAAAGTGAACGGAACGAGTTCTCGATCTCGCGCGAGGATATTAACTGCCGCGAATTCGAGAAAAACTCTCACTGATTTACGCGACGTAGATAATAGATTAATGGTCCCACCGAATCCCGTACGGAGAGAGAGCTAGAATAGATAGACGCCGCCACCTTCTCGCACCATTTCGAAGAAGGTCACGTAGATATTTCTGGACTAACAATTTCCCCGAGCAGAGAAGCAGGATCTTAATTCAACGACCGAATTAGATTCGGGATATGCGACTCGTTGCGCAATTTTTACATTTCGCATTCTGTCATCTTCGCAGTTTCGCACCGGAGCGTCAACAGGTAGAGTAACATTAATCATTGCGCGTCAACCGACACGTCTTTCTTCCATTTCTCGAAAACATGGCATTCTCATATCTCATTATTTGAGTACATCCATGGGTGTTGTAAGAATCAGTAATACAGATTTCCAGGTTTTCATATGTTCATATAAAATAAGAAAAGGATGATGAGAGAGTCAGGTAAAATTATTACTGCATCATGAATTTGGACGAGGCCTGTGTATAAACATCCGCGATCCGACAATTACGAAAGTATGCGAGGAGAACCGGAGATGGCACGCTATTCTTAGTTTGCTCCGGATTCGGTGAACAACGAGACGAACCTGAGACGCGTCCTTCTTCGAGGGACGCGCGATTCGCGGCGAGAATACGAGATGTCCAGGCCGTTTAATTCTCGTACAGCGAAATTAACGGAAGATACGGCCTCGTGGAACTCAGGAAGCAGTTGCAACGGGCAGGCTCTCTCTGCCGCGTTGTTGGCCGCCAAGCCAAAACCGACTATTATTAGCCATTCCACCGCGTTCGCGTATTTATGCCGCGCGGCGACCCAACGTATTTCGAAAATGAAATCTGAAACTCCTCAAGGATACCCCCTTGCTTCCTGGAGTCTACTGGCAAATTTCTTTGCACTGTCCGAAGCATAGCGCAGGTCTGGAGAAACCTTCTTATTATTAATTCAGTTTTAAAATGAGAATATTATAACAACTGGAAAATTTGTACTTTCAATCTTGAATAATTTTATTAAACCATAATATCTGTAGAAAGTAATTTAGAATAGAATTCCATTCGCGTAATATCTTTTTGTTTCACTGATCTAAATTCGTCGGGCGAGGTTATTCCGAGACCATAAGGGGTAACAATTTATAGGTCCACCGAAACGAGCCTTAATCGATGTTCTCCGACTTGTTAACGTTACTCTGGGTCAGGCGTAACCGAAAAGAAAACCTCTACTGAACATAGGATTGAATTACTGGGTGCAAACTAGTAAAGCCTGTCGTTTGCGAGAGGTCCTAAACGTCTCCTTAATAGCTACAGTTACGATTCCGTTAGACCGGCTCGAGACGCGTCCAGCAGCGATTTTCTTTTTACCGATTCGCTTAGCAAAACGACGCGCAACTATATATTCGCTTAAACTAGCCGTTAAGGAATACCTAACTGTCTTCTCGGCGCCAATTTATTGTAATGTCATCGCGTCGTTGCACGGGATATCGATAACGCGACTGCCTCTATCTGATATTTTATTCGCCTCTCGGATCGTTCATTCTCCGGTGATTAGCATATCTAAGGCACGCATCGTAGCTGGAAACTGGCTTTTCTGTTGAGAGAGACGCAATGTACATTTTCAAAAACATAATTCAGTCCATCTGGCAGAAGTGTTTGACGAATTTCAGTGAACGATTTACAAACAGAGAAGGATCCGGCGTAAACTAAAGCCGCGGCACGGTAAAATTAGAAAGTGTTTGAGAACGAGCGCGCGCGCGCGCGCCGCGCCGGGTGCTTGCGACACACAGGGTGCATGCGCGCACGCCAGTTTTTCCATACTCGACGGGCACAGCGTGATATTTAAAATCGCGCCGCAGAACGCTTTCAAGCCCCGTCGTCGTCGTGGCTCTCAAAGTCTTTCGCGAGCTGTCTGTTTAATTTAATCTCCCCTCTCCCATACCCCTCCTTGTGCTTTCTTTTTCCCCTCGTACACCCTCTTTCTATCCGTTCGTCGATCTCCTTCGTTCCCGCGCGCACAGACGAGCACGTACACCAACACCTTTCTTCTTTTCCCTCTCCGGGCCGGCGTATCTCCGAGGTCGTTCTTCGGGTTCACGACCGGCCGCAGCTACAGGAGAGCCGATCCCTTCTCTCTCGCTCTCTCTCTCTCTCTCTTTCTCTCGCTCTCCGACGGATCGCGGCTAACTCTCTCTCTCGTTTCAACCTCTCTTCTCTATTTTTAGAATGACACAGTACCGCGATTCGAACAGCCGGGAAATCCTCTGCCCAAAAGCGGTCGCACGAAAGCGACAGCGCCACTTTTCGTTTCGACGCGAACTGTACCACGTCCTCTTCTCAAAACGAAAAAGGTATAAAAAGGGATTTCCATTAAATTCCCTTACATAGAATTTTAATGATTTCTCTTTCTGTCGATTGAAAAATTTAACCTGTAATTGAACTCGTGATAAGATTTAAAATAAAAGACGACGTTTCACGTGGTTTTAGCAGCCAGAAGAAAGAAACTAAATCTATGACAATCGTAAAAGGTCGCGAACCCTCGTGAGTTCACGGAGCTAGTTTCTAGGTTCGCGTAATTATATCGCGACGTTACGACGACGATTCGAGAGAGAGACGGCAAACGAAAGTGTAAGGTTCACCCGTAAATTGCAGTATCATGTAGTATTTGCACAATCATTCTTGACGTGTAGTACGTGCTGGAGAACAAACACCCGCGCCGGGTGAACGCACGCGAGGGTGTCTCCGCTTCTGTCTCGTTTTCGCACCGCGCTCTAATTGCGACGATTCGCCTACCAGTTCATTCGAATTTCCTTGGACAAATCATTTCTCACGTTTTCAACATCATTTTTTACTGAAATTATTTGTCAGTGTGAATAACATCTACGAATCGTTTTCAAATTAATGACGAAACTGAATACGACCAGATACAAAAATTTAATACACAAGAGATAGATCGAGTCGACGAGAAATGGATGACAATTAAGGGAATTGTTACGTAAACGAGAGTCCGTTTGTTCGATCGCAATGGAAAAAGGAGGAAAGTCCAGCAATTAACGATCGTTAATTGAGGAATTTATGTAACAGGAATCGACTTGGCCAGTGAAAGGGATCGATTATCGATGTCGTTTCACGGATTTACAACCGCATACGCGGAGACCGCACCTGAGCCTCGCGAAGACGTAATCGATAATGGAAACCTCGCTTCCTCGATTCAGGCGTCCTGTCGATTGCTACTGGAAATATCAAATCTGAATAGGATCATATCTAGTCTGTAACGAATCGAGTCGTTCCAATTCTGACTTCAGAAGAACCGTGTTATTGACCCCAAAGCAATTAAAGTTTGCCTATCTCGTTTTGTAGAACAGCTTGTGCCAGACACGTTACCGTTCATTTTAAACTACGGTTGTCATCAAATTGTAGATTTCTATCAGTGATACAATTTTTCTACGATAGGATTCTTTATTTATCATTTTTCTATGAATCCTTTAATAGTGAAACTCAATCGATAGCGTGACGAAGATTAATAAACGGCTCTTCCATACAGGATCTTGAAAACGTCGAGGAAAGGCAAGGTGGCAAAAAGTATAACGAGGCTCGATTACCCGCGTAACTATCGCTAGATCGTCTTCACGCGGTTAAAAGATCCGATCGAATATCCGAACCACGAGCCTTGAGCTTCTTGCCACGAATACCTACAAGCTTTTTACCCGAAGGAATCTTTATAAAAAATTATTGAATAATATCTGATCGTCTGTCTGCAAGGAAAGAAATCTTGACAAGATTCTTTTTCTTATTAAAATCGAGAAACAAGATGCATGTAATCGATTTTTCATGGATGCATGTGATTTCACTTTCGTCAGAGCTCTTTTCTGTTTCAACGCTGACTGGTATTTTTTATCTGAAAAACGGTGGAAAACGCGGTGTATCCGGAAGCTGTGCGACACTCACGCACGCAAAGAATCTTCCGCGTGCGTGTACATACACGCGTTTTCACTGTAACCCGAGTTGCAGAAGGCGGCGTTGTCCCGGTGTCCCCTTACAGATTTCTATGCAACTATAATTAGGTAACCGACACCGCGGTCCCCCGTAGGAATCCCTGCGTCGCTATGCCGGCGCGGAAAGTGGCGCGAATATTTTCGGCGCGAGGAAAGCCGAAATTAAACGCGGTGTCGCACTTTTACGCACGCTTACCCGGCTTCCTCCTCCCATTTACTCTCCGTTCCTCTATTTGTCCCTCGTGTCTCGCGAGCAAGAAGGCAATAAAGGCTACGATTTAAGCTCGAATCAATTCGTTCAGTTCCACCGACAAACTAATCCTTCAATGCACGTAGATGAAAATATATTTAGCATAAATGATTTCTTTATAACGTCTCAGCATTCGCGTAGTAAATGCATTTTTAAAGCGGAACGGAGAATCGTCGATGGTCTGTTCAACGATCATCAACTTGGTCTTGTGACAGATTTCAAATGACTTCTGCCCGATGAAAGCAGTGAAAATCGGGCTCTTCCGGTGTCCCGCGCAGAGATGACAAATGTTCGTCTGCGAAGAACCCTTGGCTCATTTCCCATCCGTTCGACATATTCTGGCACGCGTTCTTCCTCGCTTTGTCATCGACGGAGCATCGAATATTTCCGATAGCTCGCGAGTAACAAACGTTCCGCGGAACAGGTGCCGCTTCCATGCAGCTTCGCTTTCGGAATTATTTGCAGAGGCGACGCGGGATTTATATAAAACCGATGGAAAGCTCGTACACGTCAGCGAACGGGAGTAACAAAAACCGTTCTGGCACCGATTCAACTATTTGGG